TTCCCAGGGAAGTGGTCCTCACCCCTACCTTGGGCAAATTCAAGAGGAGGTTGGATGATCACCTGTCTGGGGTCTTGTGAACCCAGCATTCATTCCTGCCTGTGGCAGGGCGTCAGGCTAGATGATCTGTTCAGGTTCCTCCTGACCCTAACTACTATGAAACCATGAAGCTACTGTGAAACTATGAAAGAAAAAAGTATCTTTAGGTCTTAAGAAGTAGGACTTGTAAAATTTCATGACAATTTGCCAGCACTGCTTAATAACATGTTTCTTTATTTTCTTAAAATTATACATTGCCATTCTATCAAAATACTAATGTGATCCTTACCAGTGTCATTTTCTCAGCACTTCCAATTACTTAAGGACAATATTCCCCAAACCTACTTGCTAGTCCTTTTCCATTGTCATCAAAACCAATCTTTTATTCTCATATGCATGTACACACATGCCTAAACCTCCTCTCGATCCCAATCACCTTATACTTGATGCTACATATATGCTGGACTAAGAATCAATAACTATTTGTTTCAGTGTTTCAGCTGTTGACAGCAACAGCTTTGGCCTTGCCCCTCAAGTCACATCCAAGGTCTTGTACCAAAACTAAAACCCTAGTGTAGACAAGCCAGTTTACACAAGCATGGCACATCTAACTAAGAATTTACACTGATATTAACTCCTTGTTATTGCACTTCTTTTATAGGGCTAGTCCTCAGGGTGAGTATGCCAAAGTGATCCAGGCCTTTACAAGCCACACTGGGCTGCAATTGGGCCAGACGTTTTCTGTAAAGGTCAGAGAGAATTCAGCTGGACAAAAGGGAGGCTGGTTCCAGTGACAAACCTGGAACACAGAGAGAGAATCACAGAGTGAAAGGTCTCCAAACCCTGGCAATCACATTGGGTCAAAGGCACAGCCTTATTCTGTATTTATTTTATCTGTATGGCTTTGGTAATAAGCCACAGAAAAGTGTCACAGGTGTGAGGTTGATTTTTTTTGCTTGGCCTAGTGAGGGAGAACATTAGCTTACAGAGGAAAATACTTAAAGAAAAGCAAAAGCACAAGTCTTAGTGTTAGACTAGAGGGCTCCAAATAATATCCCTAGCATATTCCACTGCCATCTGGAGACAGAGAAAAGCAAGTGCATGTAAATACAAGCACCTGCTTGAAATACACCATTTTCTCAATTTGGCATATCTAACCTCTCTTGTTGGTTTCTTTGTAGATTTGTTTATAACAATGAGAGGAACACCCCCCCCCCACCACGACCACCTTTAATAGATATTTAAGTGAATGTTGGTAAGGAACTATTTATAACATGCTGCAAATGATTTACCAAGGCCTTTATAAATTAATTAGCTGTATAGTCTGGTAAGTCAATGATGTATATAAGTGTCTCTCTCAGCATCATAGTACACGTCCACATCCTGGCTGAAATGAAACTGTTTTCCCAAAATTCAGTAGTTAGGACCACAGAGTACTAGTGGTTACCCTTAGAAAGGAAAGCTACTGGTGAATTTAGAATGTACAACATGAGAAAGTAACTGCATCTCAGAAAGCATCATGGGCATGGATAACAAAAGCAATGAAGACGTGGGTACACAAGCAAGCAACCAGAGTACAAGAGCTGCACAGCCTTTGGGTATGGCCCGATGACTAGCCTTTGCTTGTCTTTTCTGTAATTACACCTTCTGCAGATGTAAAATTCTGATTCTGCATGGCACTAACATGTACACACAGTCTCACACAGAGTGAGTGTGTGTATAAAATTTAACTATATGTATAGTACCACAGTTCCTGATTTAGCCCATCTCTGGGACTTAAATTTAAGTGCACTGCTACCTATAGACCAACTTAAATCAAATATTCTTTGGTTCTAGGACCAGGGCCTAAGGATCCAGTCAAGCCCTTAGGCTGTCAGTCAGTCACAGGTTACGAGGCTCCGTAGCTTACCACATATGTCATTGGTACTAAATAAATAACAATTTTAATGACATATTAATAAATTACTCATTTTGCATTTCACTTTTATGCACTACCACAGCTTTCATAACAATTTTTTTTAGCCACTACATTACAAACTCAAAGCAAATATTTATGGATAAGGCTGATACAAGTGCACCCCATTAAAGAATCCAGTTTAATTTCCCCTTTTAGTACTTGCATACGCAACATTTTAACATGGCTTTGTGTGTTTTTCCCCACCTCCAGATACTATTTAAGCAGGAAGCGTCAGTTTAACAATTCTAAATGTGAAGATAGGCTCCTGATTTTCACACTTAAAGCAGTTTAGCAGAAACATTTCTGCTTAAACTAGTTATTTTTTAAATACATTCAATCAAAAAATTGCATTCAAATAAGCTAGAAGTGCTTTACAATCCAGAAAGGTAGAGAAGTGCTTCCCCTACTTATTTTGCTGGGTCTACAGACTGCAGTCATTCTCTTTTTAATTGGGTTGAAAGGAAGAGGAAGATCATTTGATACAACAGACCATTATTTTGCCCTTTGTTACATTCATATAAAGCTCCCTCATTCCTGGGTATAACTGAGGGCACAGAATTCTCCTCAGTTTGTGCTGACAAGCTTATATATATTTGAAGTAATTAAAGGACTAACCTTTGAATTTCCTTGATATAGTCAGTAGATTGACCCATTTCCTTCAGCCTGGAACAAATGTCCGTGTCCATTTTATTAACCTTTCACAGGTCACTGAGTTATAACATCAATGAAGACTTGCAATAGTTTTAATTATTACCATTTTCAACATCGCTAGCAAACACAGCAGATAAAATCTAGAACAACCTCAGTGTTGGGATTTTAATTCAGATTCTGATTCTACAGTGGGATGAACCAAGCCAAAAGCTCAGATCTGAAACCTCTTTCCCCATCTCAAACTCTGAGGCAGTTTTGATCTTGAGCCAAGATTTGCAATTATAAATACTAAAATCTTGTCCTTGTTTCTGAACTATGTGAAACTGGTGGATGAAAGGCTTCAAAAAAGGGAATTAAATCACATGACAAGGCAGAATATCACACCTTTTACGTGCAGGTAAATTGCAGGCACCATTACCGAAACTGGACTTATTTGCATCTTAGTATCTGTAGCGATGAGCATCTTCTCTGCATTCTTCTCTTTCTACTTTTGTTTTTTATACTGCAAGAAAAAAAAACAATGCAAAAAACATTATTTGTAAGAGAAGCTACATATAAAGTAACAATTCATACAGTAAAATCCTACTAACATTTAGTATTTACTTTATGATCTGTGTTATGCTTCTTTTTCTTTCCCCAGGAGGAAAAAAACCTCCTGATCACTTACAATACACTTCTCCTCTAGAATACATAAAATGTGATGTTTTTGTTCGTGGATGTGATAGGCCTTTCCTTTTTCTTGCAGTTTTAGATCTGGAGTAATTCACCTGTGGCTGTCTGAAAACTCTGTTCAAGAACAGAAATAAGCCCTTTACATCACAGTGAAAACAATGAGGTAGGCACTCCTACTAGCGAGCGAGAGCCAGACTAACACTGCTGGGATTTGGATTCCGTGACCAGTTTTTGGGTGCTCCCATGTTAACTCTCATTTGGATTCTCTGGCTAGTAGAGTGATTTTCCAAAGGCTTTTAAGAGTCAAATAATATATTTTTTGAAGTCAGCTGAACACATGACTTAATGAATCACAAGAGATTGGCATTCCCTCATGTAAGAATCCAACTTACCTTTCAGGCAACAACTCTTATTTTCCCTGGACAGAACATGACGTATCTGTGTGGCCCTGCTTACAGTGAGACTTTGAAGGCAGTTTCCCATTGCTGAACTAAAGTAGATGCAGTTCCACTGGTGACAGCTAGTGTCAACTGATTATGACAGTTTTACTAACATGTTGTCTAATTCTGATCAAAGGAGCACAGGCCTGACATATGAGAAGAGCATTCTGAAAAGTTGTGTATGCCAATTACAGGCGAATGGGATATTGCTGGGGAGGGGGTTGACAAGACTCATCATTTATCTTCACAATACAGAGGGTTCTTGTCTTTTTTTCCCCATATACTTGAGTAGCTGTATTTATTGCTGCCACTAACTAGCGTAATCCAAAATAATCCCCATCAGAAACAAGGCATTACAATCTTTGTGGTTCTCATTCTTTGATTCATATTAGGTTTTCCTCACCCATTCCCCCCACATAGCATGAGTTGTTTTTGATAAAAATCACCATCGTTCTCATCATGCCTACTTCCTATAGCATTCCCTTCACCCACAGATCTCAAATCCAGTGCAGAGGACCATAAGTCGCATTTGCTTTGCAACATGCTAACCTCCGAACTGAATTAACCAAAATACATGCTACGGGACAAGGCTCATATCAAATGCACTTACTTTATTCATGACCCAGTCAGCATCTTCAACAGCTCTTTTTATAATTTGCTGGATTCTTTCAGGACTGTCTTCATCCTCATGAACTTTGAAACTCTACAGTGTTAAAACGAAAATGACTAATCCAGTTAATGAAACAGCTGTTCAGATGGTACTAAAATAACAGTCGTTTTAAAATCCTGAAATAAGCATAAGATGAAAAATGAGCAGATAATCTGACAAGGCAGAAATCAGTAAACTAGCTGAGGTATGTTCATAAAGGGCAATACTAAACATGGTGTCACACTAAGTATTCAAACTCATTCCACCTGTTAGTAAAGCAGGGGGTTATGCAGCAATTTGTGCCAACAAAATGAATAAAAGAGAACTAATTCAGAACAACAGTGAAACACAAGCTTAACTTTAAAAGTGACCTTAAGTCTAATTTTGTACCAGGTGGAAAACAGTTGTTAGTGCTCATGGGCACCTATACATGTGCCAAACATCTGCTCCAACGCATGCTAATTAGCACATAGAGCAGACTCGATTAATTAACACACTCCAGCAGCCTCCATGTCACATCTATTCTGAGTCCCCGTGCTTCAAAATGGCAGTGAAGCTCATTGAACAAGCTTTTGCTTCAGTGCCGCTGCTGCCATTTTGAAGCGTGGGATGCCACATACACATGGCACTGCGGGTGCTTCAATTAGAGCAGCTCTTGGAGAGGCTCTAAAGTGCCTCTGCCTCCACCCTGGAGTGCGTGTATAGATGCCCCATGGTAACAATGGATGATTTATGTTAAGAACACAATTTCTAACACAGAATCCTTTCCAAGAACTACTGCATTCACACTGGCACTAGGGCAGTTCAGATCACACTAGTACTTAGCCCTGCAAAGTAATTCTTATGAGAGAGCATTTTCCCTACATGTAAACCATTTGGAACATCTCTGAGCACTACAACTGTTATGAAGAACAAATAGTCTTTGTACAGTATATTTTGCTGGTACAAACAAGGCTTCAATCAAACCCCAAGAGAAACACGAGAGATGGAAAGGTTATTCAAAACATTTTTCTAGTTTAATAATCTGTGTGTGTTACTAACCATACAAAAGAGGATTTTTTTTTTTTTTTTAATGGTAAGATCCTTTTAGCCTTTATCACGTCTCTCCAAGGCTTTGGAAAAACAGTTCTTCCACTACCAAGTGTTAATCCGTTACAAGTAGCATTAAACAATGCAAAAAATTAGAGAAGCAGAAACCGTTACATGTTTCCCCATTGAAAACAAGGTTTCTCCCTACCTGTCTGATGGCATGTCTGTAATGCTGGCGGATATTTTCTTCAGGAAGTTGTCTACAGCATCGAAGCAGGTAGCGGTACAACTGTAAAGGCTTCTGAATTAATTCAGCTCCTGGTAATGGAGCCATTGTCATGCTGTGTATTCAGCTGTTAAAAAAAACAATCGCAAGCTGCTGTTACAGAGCTAAGAAACGCACATTGTACAAAGTGAAACAAGGCAAATTTTACAAAGAAAGCACCACGGCTGGTAAACTTAAAAAAATTCAACAGGAGAAACTTAGAAGTACTTAGAAGGAAAAGACAGGATTAGTACAATGATTCGTTTACTTGTTTTGTAGTTAGGTAACATCTTGCATCTATCAATGTCCAAATCCTCATTTTATTGGTGGGACTGAAAGAGAATCCCATCTATAAAATGGACACGAACCCCCCCTTGAAATGGATATTGAACTTGCTCAGGCTATTGAGAACCTAATGGTTTGAAAGACAGTTGTCATTAATCAGTGTATAAATAAACATAACAGTTTTTGCTATTATAATTTAATATTAAAAATCATTACAATAAATGCAGGGTCCCACCCACACAGGTGACATTGAAGGCGTAGGGCTTTTATTTTTATCGCTACGGAGGTTACATGAGTTCAGTTTGATTTCTAATGGTGTTCCAACAGCTTCAGGTACAATCGGTTTGCAAGCTTCAGGTTCCAACTTTAAACGTGACGTATAAATAAAACAGAAGGCATGCAAAAATATTGATAGCTTGGAGATTTACCACGAACAGAACAGTAACAGAAAAAGAACAAGATCTAGCAAATTTCCCCCTACAAGTACACTTATATATTGCTAACAGTAGGTCCATCCAAGCTATATAAAGTGCTAATCAAATATTTTAAAATTGCTAGTCATTTAACAGATGGTTACCATCTGTGGAGGCCTAAATTAACATTTGGAGAAAGCAGTTTTACATCACTACTCTTTAAAGAGTCAAGAAATACAGAAGTAACTACATAACCCAGCAGGTGCGAGATACAATTTTAGTGTCAATTATGGTTCTTACTCATCCTTCCACATATCTTTTCTACTTCCCCTCAGTTAAAGTCCTAAGGGTCACTTCATCCTGGGGCACAATCCTGATCATCACCATGTGACCCCAGATATGAAATCCATCCTGATTGTCACCACGTGACCCCAGATATGAAAGAAGAGCAGACAATCCTGACCTAAAAGGAAAACGAAGCACGCCTGTAATTTTCAGGCCATGCCGGCTTGTTTTAATGGCAGCTCCAGCAGCTCAAATCTCGTGCCGGTCTCATCATTGTGCGGGGGGAAAAAGGAAATTATAGAAATGAGGGTGGAAAGGGACCTCGGGAGGTCACGCCTAGCCCTGCATTTCTCAACCCACATGGGTTGCAACCTAAAAGCGGGGCGCGAGATTATACACCCGGGTTGCGAACAGACTGGAAAGCCCGGATCCTCCCTTAAAGGAGGAAACCGTGGAAAACTGTGGGTCACGAATGCCAGAGGCCGGGGGTCTGCAGCGAGCTTTGGTCGGTGGTGCAAGTAGAGGACGAGCGCCGACCCGGGGCTGGAGACCCCCCGGAGTTGGGGACCACCCGCAGGCGTCGAGGGGGCGAGGGCGGTGCGCCACCACACTCAGGGGGTGCACATCGCCAATGCCCTTGCAGGCGGGCAGATGTCCGGAGCCTGCGGACAGCAGGTCACCAAGGGGGTCCTGGTACAACCACAGGTCCAGCCAGGTCTTAAAACACCTCCATTTTTACTTATTTTTTTCAACTCCCCTCCTCACGAGGGAGTTTTCCCTCCTCTCCCCCCTCCCCTCGCTGCCGCTTGAGACCCGCCCAGCTCCATGTCGTTGCAACCCGCCTCAGGCGCTCTCCGCCACGCACCCCGCGGCCCCGGCGAACCCGAGGCCTCACCCCGCGGCCACCAAAGGCCTCCCCCTGCCCAGCCCTGCTCCGCCCGCCCGCCCGCGGCCTCCATTACCGTGCCGCCAGGCCGGCCTGTGCCGGGGGCGGGGCCTTCCCCTGAAGCAACCCTCGCGCGGGTCCGGGCGGCCGTTCACGCGCTTCCTTGAGCCCGCCCCGCCCCCGTACGTGTGCCCACAAGTGTCGCTCCCCTGCCTGTGCCGCGCTTGTGTTCGCAGGTAGGCTTTCTCCCTGCGTTTGTGTCGCTAAGTGGTTCCCAATGCTGCATTGACTTACAAATGAGCTCGAGTTTTGCCTACCTGGACTGCACGGATAAAATCCTGGGGCTGGTCAAAGCCAGCTGAGGTGAAAGAAAAGACTCCTCAGGAGACCCTGGAAACCAGGCCTGATGGAGCCAGTGCGTGCATTACAGGAATTACTATAATGGATTTGATGTAGCACAAATGGGAAGCATTTGGGGAAAATTGGGAAAGTCAAGCAAACAGTGCCTGGAGTTCAGAGAAGGAAAAGATCTGTCTGCCTTTGGGATTGCAGCACAGGGTTATGCCAAGAGCACGTGCTCCCATATTTTGTGAAGCCGAGCTTCTTAAACCATAGGCATTCGTTCTGCCACTTCCCTCAGACAGCTGTTCTAAAAGACTTTTCACTTGCAAGATATTTCTTCCTGAGATGCGTTCAATTTAAATGCTCCTTTTCTGGTTCCCTTTTAATCTCTAGATGGGTCCACTTAAAACTTGTGAACCCTTGTTGAATAGGGAAACATTTTTCATTTCTGCCTCACAGATCAGGAGGTGGAGGCATCCCACAGAGCTGTGCTGGAGAGGCACAAAATGCAAGGGCCACCAGAAGGGTTCAGATGATGGACAAGTCACAACACCTTCCCAGCTGGAAAGTTGTCTTCTATGATGGCCTACACTGATAGAGCACCTAGGTTAGTTGTGGGAAAGCTGGAGGAGTGGGGGAAATGCGTTTGTGAACTCTGATATCTTTTCTGAGTTGTGCAATTTATTATGCCTTACTTTTCATTGCAGTTTTACAATGATCAATATTTCTAACATACTGAGATAAGTTGGAATGGTTTGTCTAGTGCAATGGAAGAGAACGAAGCAACATAAAGATATCAAATATATTCCTTTTAAACAGCCTTTGCTTCTGTTACTAGGGATATTTTAGTCTATGGATACAAGAAGATAAATCAAATGTAATGGCTTTTATGTTACCTAGATGCTTTAAGCCTATTACTTGGGTCCCAATTCAGGAAAGTATCACTTTTTAGGATACAGTGAAGCATGTGCTGAAGTGTATTCCTAAATTGGAAGTAGATGAGTGAGTTTCACCCTTTGCTTCCTCTGAAGGAGGACAGTTTTGCTACATTTTGGTTTGTAACAAGACAGGGCATACCTAAATAATCACATTGTTTTCCTGGAAACAGAACCAAACCAAACCTTTTATGAAAACATTATGTTCACATTTGCTCTAGTGAAAGCCATCCTCCTCTCACAGCCCCTTCAATTTGAGTGTCCCCATTGGAGAGACTCTTAGACATCTTGTTTGGGTGAAATCCATGCCCAGTGTAAATGGTGGCTCTTCCAATAGCCTAAAACTCGTGTTATGACCATAACATCATTAAGGTGCAACCCCGCAGTAAATCACCACAACTTCGCCTATTATTTGGGGAGTATTATTAATGGAGAGTATTGTCTTGGTTTTTGTAGGTTGTTTCATTTAACAAATGGAAGCCCCATTCCCATGACTGTTTTGACTGGTTTAATATTTTGGAAATCTAAAATACTTTCTCTGATATCCTCAAATGTTTGCTGCAAGATCATTGTGTTCTTGAATCAGACACAGTGCTTAATACCTTTAGATTTCATAAAATATTCATTCAGAACTCACGCTGCTTTCTTTCAGCTTTGAAAGGGTCGCCCTCGGAGTCCCTGATCCCCTCCCAGCTGCAAAAACAAACATAGTCCTTGCCATTCACAAAATGCCCTACTAATTGGAAAATGCATTGCAAATTCATGAGGCCAGGAGCATGTCAGCTTAAAATAAATCCCACACAGATAATGGACGGTGACATTAAAATCTTTATAAAATGAGAATAGAAGCCGGCGCAAGTAGAAACCTTGTATGCCATCGCCTATAGTCTCTTCTGCCTTTGTCGTGGAGTTTAGCTTTTCTTTAGTTTAGCATTTCAAAAGATTTTGCAGCATAATAAAGTGAAACCTCCAGGACAGTAGCATTAATAAATGGTTATGAATTCTCTTCCTGTGTTTTTGTACTGTGCATATTTACTTAGGTATTTTAAGCTTTATGAGGATGGGAAATGTTTTTCATTAAACACATTTAAAATGCCTCGCACACTGGGGCTAGGTACTAAAGCAATAAATATTTTCAATAGCTGAACATCTTGGTGTGAATTGATGAGAATCTAGTCCATAATCTATAACAAAACTGGTGTAAATTGGCATAGCCCCCTAGGAATAACAGGAGTGATGCTGATTTATGGTAGTATAAGATCTGGCTGAAAACATTTACTATTTAAGGCATAAATATCTCTAGACATATATCACTGAAGATTCACAGTTAGATTAAGTTTAATTATGGTTCCTCTGTGTCAAGAAAATTCAAGGATAGCTATGTGAAAAATACAGGATAAAGTTTATTCTTGAAAAACATCACCCTACAAGTTGTCTAATAAAAGATATCATATTCACCCAAAGAACCTTGTCTGCCTATGTCCTTAGACCAACACGGCTACAACTTACCCCCCTGTAACACCCCACAATGTTGCTGTAATCGAGTTATACAGCACAAAAAATCATGCCAATGAATCATGGAGTATTTCTGTGTACAATGACTGCTGAAATACTGGTTAAGGTACATACTGTTTTGACTTAATTTATGATACTGAGACTCTAGATACTCCACACCTGTTTAAATAAGGGAAGGTTGCTCATCTGAAGGCAGATTTTATCTTTAAGTGATAGGTGAAGAACTGCCCTGAAGTTTTCTTATTCTTATTTGTATTGGAGTAGTTCCTGTAGGCCTTAATCAGAGATTGTGATCCTGTTGTGTTAGGTGCTGCATGCTTGTATAATGAAAAGTTCCTGCCACACCGAGTTTACAAGTGCAGGCCAACAGCACTCACAAAACAAGGCAGATGAGACAAACAGGTGGGAAGGGAATGGGGAGGAGGTGACAATAACATGAGCATGTTTTTGTGTAGACGAAGAGTGCAGACAGTACAGCTCACCACCTGTTTAGCTGATATCGACAGGCAAGTTTTAACACCATTTTTAAGGAGCTGCAGAGTCGTGATTATGGTGATGAATGATACAAAAGCCCCTAAAGTAGGCTTTGATACCATTTTTATAAAAAATTTAAAAAACCCTGCTCCTGACTTCCAAGGTCTAATGAAGCTTGTTACTGTCCCATGAGTGTTCCATATAAATTAATTCACAGTTATGTGATAGATATAATAAGAATTACAAACCTTTGATGAACATATTTCAGGAGCCCTGCCCTGTTTATTTATGCTCACTATTATCTTGGGCTTCCTTACAACTGAAGAAAAGGTGCTGTGTAGTTCTGTTTCATTGAGATTATGCAAAGCTGTTCTCTACTTTCCTAGAAATTTGTTTTGCACCACAGAAACTTGCCTAGCATACAAGGTGGGGGAGCGAAGGATAAAAAGTGAGAGGAAAACACATGTATAAGTGGAGGCAGAGAAAACTGGTAAGGAATTGAGTACATTTATACACACCAAGCCAAATTCTTTCTGCTGTAATATTAATGGAGTTAAAGCATATATATCGTGAGGTAGGACCAAATCCACTGCTCGGTGAAGCCAAAAGGAATCTTTCTGTTGACTACAGTGGCCACAGACTAATGCTTCAACACCAATCCCTCCTTGAAAGCTGGTCTTACACACTATCTTCCTTCCTGAGCACAGCTGTTCCCAGACCTGTCCTTCTGGTCTTCCCCTGCCACACTCCCTTAGTTCTTCTGACACAGGAGGTATCTTCCCCTCTGGATGCCACTAATTGAGCAAACCTGCCAGCACAACCCAGATGAAGACACAGTCCCTGCTGTGAAGAATACAAAATCTACCATTCACTGATTATATTTTTTATTATTGTCTTTGCAGTAGCACACAAAAGCCTCAGCCAAGATAGGGAGCCTATTATGCCAGACATGAGACAACAACATAGCAAAATGCTGCTCCTGTCTCACAGAAGCTTATGGTTTAAGTAGACAAGGCAGACAATTGGGAAGGAAAAGGATATATTACCTCCAATTTTACAGGAAATTAACCAAAGTTTGGAGAGATGATATAACTACCCAAACTCAGAGAGGAGGCTGGGCATAGCCAGGCTT